TTTTTCAGGGGGGGGGGAGGGGGGGAAATTGGAAGTTACATTTTTCAGGCCCCCCCTCAAATCCATGGTTAACAGGGTGGGGATGCCGTAACATTGAGCTAGCAAGCTTGGTGGCATCAGCCACCTCCTTGCCTCTTCGTCGAACCTTTGATGAGAGGGATGGAACGATGAGCGGAGCAGCTTGAGCTACCCCTGCGGGAGGCGCGCTGCCGGGCTGTCAGCCAGAAAATGGCCATGGTAGTGCGAAGCCACTGTGAGACGTGCGTCAGCTGCCTGTGGCAGCAAATTTGGGAAGGCTTTCGTCAATGGCTGCCTGTGGCCTCAAGGGCAGAGCTCTTAGCCCAGTGCTCTCGGCAATCACCTGGCCTTACCCCATGTCGCTCATGTAAAAACATGGCAGAAAGATTGCCAGGCTTACACAAACACATCACATGCATGTGGAGCGTGCTTGGCAAGCTGCCATCCCTATAGCCACACGACGTCCTAAGGAAATCAGCGATTGTAGGCTACAGGTTCCAGCGATGGGCGCAACGACTGGTGTGGGAATAAATATTCCTTGCATCGTGGGAATGTTCGAATATTCCTTGCATCTGCAACCAAAAGTCGTTCCAGCCGCAGTAGCCATGGGCTTGTCTGTGTTGAGCTCCTTGAAGTCTGGCCCTCCTAGATCAACTTCATGTTATGTGGCCCGGACACTCAGAAGACCCGAGTCTTCTTGTCAGCGTGCATACCAGTAGCAGCTGCTGAAGAGACACTTTGTGATTCTCCAAAGAGTGCAAATCGCAGCTTTCAGTTTGACAAGATTTAACAAGTACGCGTTAACTTAGTTGGTTTTCCTTGTCTCCTTCTCTAAGTTTGTTGCCTGTGGTCACTGGTACCAAGTGAAGAAGCAACGAGTAGTCCATCAATCCTGATAGCAAGCTTTTTGTTGGAACCAAAATGTGCACAAATGCTAAGCTGAGCTCCACACTGGACCTTGCAAGCAAGCGAGCGTCGTGATAAATGATCCTGCGAAGACTGAGAGGAGCACTGATAGTGCCAATCAGTCCACTCACTGAATTGCACATGATGAGTTGAAAGGGTTCACATGGTTCCGTTGTTTATTCCCCCCATCAGTCCACCGGCCTTGCGAAACGATTCGCACCTTCGGCACCTAACTTGTGGGAGCAAAGAACGGAACCCGAGGATGTGACTGAAGCGTTGCGTGCGCAAAGCTGAGGGATAAAAACAATCAAGGAAGGCACATCGCAAAAGAAACCTGGTGGCAAACCAAGGAAATGAAGGGGTTAAAACTTCTGTATGATGATGAGCTTAACACAAAAATGTGGTCTTCATCTGCGACCTGAAAATCATCCACCACTTTGACACATCATGAGCCAAGCCTCAATCATGCGACGATGGATTACGAGTTAAATAGTACGGTCAAGGCTGCGACGCTTTTATCTGCGCTTAAATGGTGCAGCTAAGGCTGCGATGGGTTTCGGTAGCAACCCGGCAAAATTGAAGGTTGGGACCACAAATCACACCCCACCAGCTCATCTTGTACCTGCTTCCTGCTAGTAGCTGCTCGTGTGCACACATTGGTTGCATGTAGAAACGCTGTGAATGTAGAGAGTGGCCGTAGCTGACAACAAGCGCTCGATTTCAGTAGAGAGGTTTGAAGGTTACTACATGCCCTGGCACATCGCCTTCATAGAATTCATGGCCACCACCGGATTTTGGAAACGCCACCTGTGCCATATGACATTGGCTGAAAAACAAAGGTAAGATTTCAGGCGAAAAACACCTCGTTGGCCTGGCCTCAAGGATCTTTAAGCCTGCAGGCAAGAAGTGCCGGAAGTTCGCATCTTTCCAGACCTGAACCGAACTAAGAAAGAAGGTATCTTTGTAATTTTTCATTATTCCTTTTATGTTTAGCCCGCCCACACTTAATTAAGTAGGCACCTACTTAATTAAGTAAGGGAGTAGTTCGCTACTAGCAAAGGAAGCTCCTAGCTAGGACGCAGGATAGCTCACGCTCGCACTCACTTTTTGGGAAACTTAACTTCCGATAGTTTCATCTTTGTCCGGGGAACTCTAAGGGCCAAAAAAATCAAACAAAACCAACAACATCTCCCGTGCCTGTTCCTTCATGCCTGCGACCCGATTCTTCCAGCCATAGTTCCCTTTGAGGTCGAAGAGTCTTCTCCACCTTGCGCTTTTGGCACCTGAGGGGTCACATCGAACTGTTCTCCGACGTGCATCCGAGCGCTCCAATGGCACACACTTGTCAGAAGCCAGTCTGCCAAAAACTGCGTATAACTTTGAACTTTGCAAATTCTGCCTGATGGCCGTGTCGTGCTGTAGTCAGAAAACAATGTTTCAAAACATTCTCTGACAACATCGGGCGTAGACGGGAGATTCATCCGAGACACCATGAAGCAAAATGCTGGGCGACACCTGCACGTATTTGATGGCATTCCCGACCTGTGGAGCTGTAGCAGGGTCTCTTTCTTTCTGTACCTTAGACCTTTGTTCTTTAGATCTTTACTTCTTTTCATTATTTTCTCGTCCTCGTTTGTTCAATCCTTTGGCGTGCAGGCAGCTCCGCTGAAGAGTTTTCGAGCGCCTGCAGTGCCAGTTGTGGTGGTATTGACAGTTGCGGTGTCGTTGAAAGTTGTGGTGTTGCTGAAACGGGTGGCGCTTGCATATAGCAAGGTGTGTCTTTCTGTGCCAGGGTTGTTCTAGTCGTGCGCTACTGTATTTCTGACGCATCGTTGAACTGCGAGTGCAAACCTTTGCTCTGCGTCACTAAATGTCCGCGTTTTTTCTGCATTTTGGCCCAGCGATAGCTGCTGCTAGCTGTTAGCTGTAGACTGTATGCCTTGATCCATGTTGATATGGCATCTAGCTGCAGAGTCGGCATTCCTCTGCAAAGTGCAATGGGCAAACATGTGTCACTGCACCTAGGTGTGCTGGAGCTCTGTAGGCTCTTGCATGGTGACCCGGTTGTCTGCACGTGTAACGTCTGCTCATGAGATTCTTGCCTTCTCATTTCTCTCTATCTTTTCTCTTTTGCAGTCCATGTCGCTGCTGGTTTTGCTACACTCCGCTGTCATAGCCAAATGGATATTGGCGCTTCCTACTTCGTTGCTTTCTTTTCCTTTGTGCCCTCCATAGCCTCAGTTCCTATCCATTGCCATATCTTTTTTCAATGATGCTCTTGTCCATTCTTTTTCCTATGTTCTGTTCTTTTTCTTTGCCTGCTTCTAGTTTTGTTGCATTTCCTCTTTGACATGGTCTTTAATTTTCAACGAATGTATTGGTGTATGTGCTGGTTTGTGTTGTTGAAAGTTCAACTTGTTGTATTTCTGTGTCATCATTGTTCAGGAGTTGCTCCTGCTTGGTGCAAGAGCTCACCTGGATATGTTTCCAGGATCACAACTCTTGCACCATGTTAAATACATTGCTGGCTCATAGCACAGGAAAAACACATTGTTCTTCGCATCTGTCGGTCTGAGGTATCAGGACCACTGTTGGATCTTACCATGGGCTCCAACCCTTTTTCTCTCTCCAATGGTTATAAGTGTTTTTAGGCAGTGCTCTGCACTCGACAACTGAGTGCCTTGAAGGAAAGGCTGCGACAGGTGGGTGCCAGCAAAGTGTCGCGCCTGGCGGGTAAGCATAGATTCTCAGGAGAAGCTCACGGGAAAGTTGCATGTCCCCCTTTGTGTTTCACCGTGATTATCAATTTCCATTTTCGTCCCTGGTGTTCAAGGGATTAGCGACTGCTTGGTGCTCAAAATGCCTGGACCCTTTCAACTTGTGCAGCAAGTGATGCAGCATTTTGTGCTCAATGGGGTCGATCAACTTCACAACCTGACAATCGCCATCTGTTAATCCTTGTTTCAGCGTTGTCATCAAAAAAACATCTGTTGCATAGCAGTCTCCAATCCAACCAACGGGGCAAGGTGCAAATTTTGAAGATCGGAGTGGCGAGGTGCCACTCTTGCCTCCGCTGGCTACTTTGGCGCCAGATTCCACATCTGCAATGATGTCTTTCCTCAAGAGTTGCACCGCCAAAACTCATGTCGAATCTGGTGCCAGCATTGATCCTTACGACTGTAAATCCAAAGTGCTCACCAAGGGGCAGGTCGGGGCAAGCAGCGGCACCCCAGCGACCAAATCGACGACCGAAGTCCTGCACAAGCATCTGCGCGCCGCGCAGCTTCGCAAAACTGGGGCGTGGAGGTCATGCTGGCTGTGTCAATGCAGAACCTGGCCTATGCAATCAAGTCTATTCTAGACCATGCGTAAAAAGTACATTGGACAAGGTGCCAAAGCTGCAAAGAGGTGATTTTGAGTGTTGAAGTGGTTGAAGTATATTGAAGTCATAAGTCTGAGTGGCACATAGTGGCACAATGTTCACAGCTGGGCCTCGCAGTGGTGGTTTGGAGAATGCTTGGCAATGCGGAGCCAGTCCAGCAAATTCTCAGATTTTGCTGAGAACAGGCAGGCCTGCAGTGGCTCAGTTCTACCTGATTGGGGAGGTTTGCAAGTTGCATTCTGTGAGGGGGTTACCCCAAACAAGTAAGAAGGATGACTCCCTCCGTGCAAAAAAAAATGTATATATATACATACGTGTATGATATGTATAATGATATATAATTGATATACTTAAATATGCTCTATATATCTCTCTATGTATGATATATAACAAAAACTATTCTAGTCTATATACAGGTTTGGGAGGTACTCGTGTGCTTTGACTGTGCCATCCGCTTTCCAGCTTTCACCGTCGTAGCACCTTGTACGGAACCTACCCCTACTATTGCAAAAAGACATCAAACAGCAAAGCGCATTCCTCTAGTTTAGTGAGTCCAGAGGGGCTTGAGAAGGCGGCATTGGATTGTTATAGCCCTGTCACCGTCCATTCTGTCATTTTAATTGCATGAAATGGTGGTCCCTTCAAAGGTAGCCTAAATCAAAGAACCTTAGATAAATGGGAAAATCCTAGAATGACCTTACCTGAGGTCATTTCCAAGCATGAGTGCACCATTAGAAGCAGTAAATCGTCTATTTCCGAGCACTCAGATTCTCCGTCTGAGCTTCTCTAAGTCTAGTGTTAGACTTGGTAACCCCAGCATCCCAAAAGTTTCCAGGAAAAATCGGATTTCATCTTTGAACATTCACAAACTTTCCAACACAAAAGTTACGTTACATGGACACATCGTCAAACTTCTTGATAATCAACAGCAGCAAAAGGAAGAAACAGTTCTCCTCATCATCAGTTGTGGGTAAGGTGTGGCAAGGGGTAGATAGCAAGAAACCTAACCAATGGATGAGAAGAGGTCAGGACACCCATTTTATAAAGGTATTGGGTGGGAGGGCCAGACTAATTAGGAGGGGCCTGGAACACGGCTCGAAATGCAGGGGATGCCAAAAGCTGGGAACGCATTTCTGACATGACATAATGCATTGCCCAAAAGCAGGGGTCGAACCAGGATGTGCGTGCTGGCTGAAGACAAGAGACCTTTGAAAAATGGGTGAGGAGAGGTCGGGGACACCCATTTTATAGAGGTATTGGGTGGCAGGCCAAACTAACGAAACTAATTCATTCGGAGGGACCTGAAGCAAAACACCTTTAAAACATGGGGGAGAAAAGGTCAGGACACCTATAAAATGGGGGATTGGGGAGCGCTGGAGGCCTGGGAAGACACATGAAGAAACCAAGAGAAAATCATAAGATTGAATCTGGCAGGTGGCAAAGAGGATAAAGGACGGCAAAGGACTTGGAAATGCGAAACAAAAAAACTATGCTTGGCAAGGGTCAGGACACCCACTTTAGAGCGGTGTGTGTGTGTGTGGGTGTTAGACAATGTCCCTTATGGAGAGCAGGTAGTGGGCTCATGCGTGAGGACTGCAAAACAAACTTTGTAAAGGCAGGGGTGCTGCTGGGTTTGCTTTCTTGCCCCAAGCACCCAACAATTCTCCTATTATTCTCCTCATCCTTCCCTTTTATTCACACCGCTTCACTGTCGAAGCCGCCCACACAGAGTAAAGGGAGAGCAAGCACACACACACACATACAAACATAGGAATCCATCCATGCAGACAAACATGCATACATGCAAACATACATCCGGCATAGATGGGAAAAGTGTGTCATTAGCACCCTGCCGGCTTGGCAGCAACCTGCGCTCGCGGAGCCGAGAACTAGCAACTTACGCTGCCGGAGCCGGGCGGGAATGTTAACCGGGCTCAAGCGTGAAGAAGCGTTTCGCTATGGCCCTATCTAGTCCCCAGCCTTTTCACAGAGGGTTTATGTCTCGGTGCGCCTGTCTCGGTCTGTCAGTCTCTCGATCGAGCAGGACACATGGACGTGCGATGTCAATTGTCTGTCTTGGCCTCGGTTTGTCTGTCTCGGTCTCTCGGTCTGTCTGTCACGGTCGGGCAGGACACACGGACGAACCCACCCACGATGTCAATAATGCGCTGTTCGCGGGGTGCGCATGCGCACGCGATGTCGATAATGCAATGCGCAGCTGCCTGCGTAACTGGCATCGCCAATGTTTGGTCCGAAACCATACCCTATGTTATCAATCTTCAAAAACATTGCAACACACAGCGTTTCCCGAGCTGAGAGATGAACCCTGCCACCCAAGCTTAGGATAAATCCTTCAGATTTCTTACGTTTTGTTCGAGCCTCCACAACGCCTCAGCACCTTCGGTGCATGTTTTCATATATGCTGGCAACAACATCACCTGTTGTTTTTGGCTCATCTCATGCCACGTCATGGTGCTTGAAAGTACAGTACAGCAAAAGCAACATCAAGCTCTTGCACACACAAACAAGCAATTCTCTGTAAGATGAGGTCCTGACCCCCTAGGGGGTGGCGATTCTAAAACGTTTTATATGGGCCCCCATTTCATAGAGGACATGGGCAGGGGGATGGATTATTTGCCCTGGCCTCCACACAAACATATCCAGATATCTTCAACATGTGAGTTACTTTTGTTCACCACTCCCGTCAAAAAACCAGAAACAAAGAAACACATTGCAATGTCGCCTTCAGCCTTAAACTTCAATTCAGGGGGCTGGGATGTTGAATATTGTTAAATGATGTTAAATGATATTGATTGTTTTGAACAAACATGGCTGGCACAAAATGCTTTCTGACTGGCAGGGGCGCCGTTATTGACTGGCAAACTTAGGTACCCTGCAACTGTGCCCGCATCAAGACATCAACTTCAAAATTTTCAGTCGAAACACATCATCAGGCTGATCTTGATCCGTGTCACCGTCTGTGATGACATCCTGCCATCTCCATACACCGTGCTTTGTGGACAAACATTAGTTTCTAGTTGGTCTACGTCGCACACTTACGCAACTGAGACACAAAACCTTCCGAACACCCTCTGGTGTGAACAACATGGTTGAAAAGGGTCAGTTGCCAAACCAGCCCTGGACGTGCGAAGTAACGTAGCCGTGAAGTGCTAAAGGTCCTCCTCCTCCTCCTCATCCAGATCAGGCATATGTTCCAGCATTTCCTCAATTTCCTGCAGAGTAACAAGCTATCTGGCATATTGAAAGGCTATGTGTCCTGTGCGGAGTGCTTCTCGCAAGCGCCACGTGCCATGAGTGGAATCATGGGCTCCCGCCTGTGGAGTAAATTTCACTTCTCCCACTGGGATCATTTCCTCCTCCCTTTTCTTTTCAGGAAAAACGTCTTCGAACTTCACATCTTCCAAGTCCTTTGCTGTACTGGAATTCCGCCCGACATGGAATTCAAACAGCTCGTGACCAATCCCCACTCAAGACCAGAATCCTACATCCTAGGTAGCACAGAATGTACACTTGTGTCACTTCATAATTGACACGGGACCAGTGTTTGCTTTGCGCATGCACTTGGTGGGCAAAGGCGGGCAACTGGATTTTCTGTGCGATGGGATCTGTGTTTGAATTTGCACAGTCGCGGCTTTGCGTTGGATGCGAACTCCAAACATGTGTGCTACGAGAGATGCCTCGGCAAGGGCATCGCTGCGATTGGGGAGACCGCAAGGTTACCGGCCACCGTTGACTACCCGTTTTCAGTGTTTGGGCAAAGCAACTACAACAAGCGATTGGCCAGGCCAGCAGAACCAAATCAACAGAACAACGCATTCTGAAAAATCCTTATCATTATCAGCACCTGCACAACACCTGAGAGCCCCGTCGGGTTCTTGCAGTGGACTGATCGCGTTGGCTATTTATTGCATGTGTTGCTCACTTCTCCATTTTTTGTCCATTTGAACTTTGGCTGTTTTGGCTTGAGGAGGTTTTGTAGCACCATGTTGCACCCTTCTCGGGTTTTCATGGTGCTGAGTGGTTCAGTGGTTCCGTTGGTAACTTTCGTTCACATTTGTGCTCGTGTAGTCCATACCATGCCCCTCATGCTTATTGTGTTGGGATGCATTGAACAAAGCCTGACAACACCTCCACAACAGTGTCCCATGGCCCATCTGCACTGCATTGTTGCTGGCATATCTGGCATACCCTTGACCATCATTGACAGTGCGATTGAGCCAGGTAGCTTCCATGATCGATTCCACAAGGTCGTCCAGGCCCTGACACGCTCGTCGTGACCACATTTTCAACTGGACGGTGCCAGCACCCATAGCCCCTCCTCCGTCTTTTATTTTTCTCTCTCTATCTCTCTCTCGCTCCTCGTCCTCTGGGTCACTATCCTCATCATCGTCATCTTCATCTTCTGGTGATTCGGCTGATCTGTTGGAGATTTCCTCAGCCGCCATGCAATCCAACCTTTGCAAACCGCATACTTGGACCCTATGCATACAATTTATTAGTAGATTCCAATAAACAACACACCTCTATTGGACCTTGAATGGCACGAATCCTCTGTATGATCTGTATGGCATGGCTCTTTGTTGGTCGATTCATGTCTACCTTCCAAAACCTATTTCACCAATTCTGCTGTGATGGACTGTGTTTTGATGGCCAGTCCTGTTCTTGCGGAAAGCTCTTCGGTCATGAACATGGTCATGCGATGAATGTTCTTGGATGACAAAGCCAGCTGCAAACACCAGTTCGGTGGCACTCCAAAGCTGTGTCGGTGTCACTCCAAAGCTCAAAGCGATAGTGAAAGAACACTATATGAATGACTAATTATTTGTGAAGGAAATCCCTTGGTGCAAGTCTATGTTCAGGAGTCAAGGACTGTCAATCGATGGCAAAGGTATGTGGGGATGTGGCGAGACATGGGTGGGGATCATGCCTGCTGCGCATGAGGAATGTAGGAGTGACTCTGCTGGAGAAACATCGCTCCCGGCTTGCAGGGAGCGAACTTCCATTTTGACATCACACACGCCTGCCAAAGTTTCCGGTACGCTTTTCTCTAACTTCCTCCACACCACACCTCTAATGTGCAACTGATGATGTGCTCCTTTTCTATCCTTTTCTCTCGTTTTTCCTCGAAGCACTCACATCACCTTCCCTGTATGCAGCATTTTCTGAAAGTGCCAGGGCACATGAGGACGCAAGGCGGCCCCCAAAAGTCCGAGAACCAGCAGCAGTGCCAAGCGGAGTCCCATGGCAAACATTTTGAGCAGTCAACGTCTGCAAAAAAATGGCGTGGACCTGTACGGAAAAAGCACCGTCTAAGTTGATGTCTCATGATACAGTAGGTCTGTGTGATGAGGAATCGAGATGGATCTGAAAAGAAAGACTTGATGTTCCACTGGCGAGGTGGGCCTCCTTGGTTGCGAGCACGAAGGGCTTTCGCATGGACCACTGCCCTGGCTTGTCACGACTATGCAATTCTTAAAAGAAAACGAGGTCTTTTTAGTGCCACGGCCTGCGTGAGCTGACACCCCGGAAGTGATGAGCCTCAGGCTCACTTTAAACCAACCAAACATCTGTCTGGGAAAAATGAAATAGGACCAGCAATGCAAAGCTGGGAAACTCAGTGAACATTTGTTGCCCGTTGCAGGCGGCAGATTACAAGCCACAGCTCGAAGAGGGGCAACATTTAATATCTAATTATATTTGTCGATATTTGTCGCTTCGAACTGCAGTGGAACATGAATGCTGATACTCTCCCAGTGTTGCAATTTCTGGACAAGGAGATCTTCAGGTGTCGGCCGACGGCATTGCTCGCATAGCGTCGGTGGTAGTCAGGGGTCTGAGAACGCGCTCGACCTACCAGGACCACGACGGTACGAGAATGAGAATGCGCCATCACAGCGTTTTGCGGCCACAAGTGTGTTATCCCAAGCATGCCCAGTTTCTCAAACAGTTTCTCTGCTTGTGGCAAATGCACGATCACGTGCCCATGCTGCACAATCTCTGAGTGGCCCATGCCCATCAGGGCAGCTGTGCCGGCTGGCGTGTCAAAGCGCCTCAGTTCTTGTCTCAAAAATCGCTCAGTTGGGGCCGAAGCCCCGACTGCGGGCATTGGCGGCCTGTTGTGGGCGGAAGCTGCCCCCGCTGCAGGCACCTCCTGAGAGCGCAAATTCTGGCGCCTTGACAACTACGGCCAAGAGAAGCGTTTGGGAAGAAGGTTGACTAGGACCAGGATGAGGATGGTTGGAGGCATGCAGGCCTGGTGCTTAGCTTTCCAACAAGCTCTTGATATCCATGCTCCGGGAATTAAATCCCAAGCCAGTGGTCCGAATGGTCACCGCTTATTATACAAGCAGTGTTTTAATGTGCCCGCTTTTTCCTGGTCCGCACTGTCCACCTTCTCTCTGTTTCCAGGCCCTGCCCCTCAGCTCCTTCCAGAAGTTCTGGGCTGATGACCTTTGTCTTGGCGGATCGCCTCACAAAAACGAACATCCAACACTGGACAAGCGGGCCTCTCTCAGGTACAAAGGCCGTCTTGCTTCCGAACATGGATTCCATGGATGCTCCAAATACATATCCAGTTTCACAAGCCACAAGCCACACAAGGCTTGTCTGATCTTGTCTGCCATCATTGGTACTCCACACTATCTCAAGGCGATCTTCCCAACATAGAAAATGAATACCTGGTATATGCCTGAAGCCCGGCCCCCTACTCAATCACCTCTGACTGGTTGTTGAACCAAAAACACACATATATATTATATATATATATATTCATATTTTGTTGTCAAGCTTCAATTGTGCCTCAAGCCAAAGTAGGGCTTGGTCACCCTTGTGTTGCGCACGTTGGGGGTTGGCACAGTGAGACCAAACATAGGAAGCGACGAGCTACTCAGGTCACACAACGTGCAAAAGGGGGGGTGGGCAATCTGCCATCTGCCAGAAGGTAAGTTAGTAAGAAGCTAACAAGGGAAAAGCCACCCGAGCAAAAGCATATTTTTTCAAACTAACCTCAAAATTACTTGACATCTTCCAATATCTTCCAATCATCCAACTGGCATTTGTAGCAGAATGGTTATGGTTTCTTCTTTTCCAGGCAAAGTCCTCCCAAAATCTGTGCAACATTTTCGCAACACATCAATGACAAAGGGGCGGAAGAATCTGCATTCCTCTGTCGACTCCTGGTTAGCCTCACGCCGTTGAACATCTTTTTCGGACTGTGGCAAACCGATTGGACATTCAAACGCACGAACGCACGGATGCTGTGGCACCAAATGGTCAAAGAAAGGACAGCATCAATCATTCGCTGTCAATCTTTATTCAATTTGAGTGCAGCCCGAATACAATGGGCTTGTCTGCACCTTCCCTCTGGGCTCAGCAATTGTTCGCCGCTGTGGTCGTGACGTAAGGACAGGGCCGTGGTCCTGGAAGCAAATGCGCAAGTGCGAGGCGGGTGTTAGACTGCACAGTGTCAAGGTGCTAGACTGCATTCTCTTGATTTGCCAATGGTTTATTCATTTACTGTATGTTTATGCGGCATTTTTGCATCTCTCGCTTGCTGTCGGTTCATAGCCCTGATGACGCTTTCACACGGCCTCTGCCAAGGCTTTGGCTTTGGCCTCTTCTGGGCCTGACGAAACAAGGAGATGCCTGGGATGGTTCAAGCGAAAAGGGAACGCAATGATGGATCCGTGAAGGACTCCTGCGTTTGAATCGCATCTTGAAGGCTTGAAGGGGCCGACGACATTGTACTGTAAATGTTTTACATGTTTTAAACATCTGCACCGCAATCACGTCAAAACTTGCACAAGCTTGCAGAGTCGTCAACGCCACAGCTCAACTCCAAAATGTCGCAAGCTGATAAGTCTGCCACCTGTGCTGTTGCCAGTGGTCCCTGCCTGACACGTGATAAAGGCCAACAAACAAAATCACAAAGACAACTTTGCTCAATCTGCATCAATCGATATCCATTAAACACAAGTAGCGCTGCAATGGCAACGCGTATAATAATTGGCTCATGAGCTGATCAATCTTCTCCGACCCTTTCCACTCGCTCAGAACAGAAATGCGCGGAGTTGCCTGTTTTGAGCACAAACTGGTGGATGGCCTCACGCCTCGCCAGCCGCAAGATGGCATGACACCCGGAAACTCTCATTTCATTGCGTCAAGGCATTGGCATTTCATAGACCAACAATAACAAGTAAGGCAATATCATTTGGTTTGATCTTCTGCGCCCAAAAGTCGGTGATTCCTTGTGTCAGATCATGCCATGCCACCGGGTCTCCACCTTGCTCACGTCGAAGGTCATCCAACGAAGCAGCTCTCCACCAGGACTGTGCCAAACAGTTGCTATCACACTCTATCACCCTTTCTCGTTTGACCGGCATCCTGTCTTCGGAAGCCGACTTGCTCATTAGCATGCTCATTTTTCGGGCAGCTGACTTCAGTGCCTCTCGGGGCCTTTGTCCCTCCGAGTTGTACCTACCATGGACGGCAAAAGTGCACCATATATAAGTGCTTGACCATGCTTATTCGTGGAGAGCTCCACACTGCCATGAGAGGGCACGAATTGCTTTTCGGCGGTTTCTGAACCTGGCAGGGAGTAAAGGCTGACTGTTCACTGTTCACAGTGGAGTTGAACCCAAAACAGCTTGGCACAGCTTGGCTCTGCAAAGATTTTGGGATTTTGGATGATTTTGGGCAGCACTTTTTGTCTGCAAAGTCGGCATGCTTGGCTGCCCAGTCAGCTGTCTGAGTGTCCAGCTTTGCCTGCCGCGACAAACCACAAGGTGGGGTCTTGAAAACCCTCTTAGAGAAGAAAAGAACTCCAAAACAGAACAAGTCCACCACTCGGAACGGATACACAATCTTACAAATTTGGACTTGCAGTGAAAGCACATGTACAAAGGCAAGCAAACAACCATGGGAGCCTCCTTTTTCGGTAGAGTCCGCCAGCCAGTCATCTTGATCTTCATAAAATGCAGGGCATCGTGGGAAACTCTTTGCGAAGCTCTTCGCCGGAGCTGAACAGGCGGCCCTGTCAGTGGAAACTGCCGGAAGGATGCCGCTGCATAGTGCAAACTGCCACGCGACTCTAGCCACCGCACTACAAAGATTCAAAGTCATGCATCTTTCGCCAACTGCCAGGACCAACAAACACTATATAAACAAACAAAGTGCTTCTCTTCTCTTCTCTTGATTGAATTGGATACCCCAAAGCGTGATGTCTTCTAAGGCCATCATCTCCCCTGGCCTGATAGACAATAACTTTGGTGGGATAGAGGCCCTTCTTGTAACGAGCATGGATTCGGTCGATCCACCTTCAAGATTGCGGCTGAAGGTCCCAAGCGGGTGTAATGCACAAGGTCATACAATGTTACAAGGTCTCAAGGTGGACAATCCAAGCTCTAACAGTGAAGCAGTGACCACCATTTTTTCACCAGCATTTTAGATGCTTTCTCAGTACTGCAATAGCATGCGCAAACATTTCGGTAGAAAGGCAGAATGTCCACAAGACACACAAACATGATTCACATAGGGCCTAGCTGTCTCCTTGGGGTCCTTGGCGTTGTGCGCAGTGAAGTGCGCCTGGGTTGGAGCAGTCGCAAATTGCGTGGCTTCAAGGTTGGTTTCAGGGCAGCCTCTTCTTGGATTCTTTGGTTGATGTTCCGGCACGATCGGCAATTGAAACCTCCTGGCCTTTGCGGCGCCCTTGGGGTAGAATCGCGAGTCTGCCATGATGTTGGAACAGCCAGTGCCGGGTGGACACTTCGTGCCCATTGAAGGATCCCATTTGATCAGCCTGCAGCATAATACTTCATTCATCTTCATTCTTGACAGTTCTTACTCGCTTTGACTGAGCTTTTCCCTCAATCATTGTGAAGTTTGTTCAATTTGCTTCACTGTGAGCAAATCAAAACAATCAGCCAAGCGTCTCTTCAAACTCTGTTCGATCCTGAAGTAGAGCGATCCGCGGATACTAGTAGTAAGAATGCTCCTAGTAGCGATGCCAGGAGCCCCTAGTAGCGTCCTTTTCCCTAAGGGCCATGTGATAAGGAACGTTTAAGGACCTGGAATGGTGCGTGGTGGCACCTTCTCTTTTCTTGCATCACTCGCTGTGTCGCTACGTCATGGCCAGGGCGCGTTGTCAAACTTGCACCACTGCTTCGTCACCTGCACAAAAGCTCATTGCATGTAGCGCAACACATGCAACATCTTGCTGGTAGCCCAGTGCTTCTGAAGCCCCCAGCTTTTGAAGCATGTTTACTGTATATATATATATATCATCCTCCCAAAGCCATCTGGCTTCCAGCCTTGTCCTCCCAGGCAGCTACGTTGAGCATGTCCTCGTCCTTTGGCAACACGTCAGCAAAAGCGTGTGGCAAACATTCAGTGGGGGGATGAACATGAATAATCATGAATACATATTTCATCATATTTCATCATATTTCACTTGTAAACGTCGACTGTTTCCAGCAAATGTCGCCGACCACCAAAAAGAAGTAGTGTGGGCCAGCTGTCCGCAAACTCTTGTGCCTCGGGGATGTCAGCTATCCGCAAAGCGCCCTTCTCCCCTGCCATCGTGAGCTCTTCATCACGGAAGTGACGCCGGAGCCACTTTCCTGCGCACCGATCGCCGGGAGAATCGGCAAGGTCACATTCTCATCGCGTCTCTACTAATAGCAAACATTGCTCCTAGTAGTAAGGCCAGGAGCTCCTTTAGTAGCGTCCTTGCTCCTAGGTTACCCTCCCTCGACTTCGCTTGACTTCTGGGAAAGTAAAGAATCAAGGCCGTTTGGTCGACAGGGTCGACACTTCAAGCCGTCCCAAGTCCCAAGCCGTGTTTTTAGAATTCATTGTTCATTGCCACTTTGTAGATGAACTCTACGCGCCGAGTCCTATCCATGGCAAAGCCCAAAAGGTCCAAGTGGGATGTGCGTGACTCCATCGCATGGAGTGAAGCTCGCACTTGGGTGGGTCGGGGCAAAAGCGGCCTTGGTGGCCGTCAAGATAATGCCCATACTGTTAGCCTAGAATATGGACGAACATCAACTGCAACACTCATTGCTTCTGTGCTGAAGCTGCCGCACTTGACTTGATTGCAGCCTTGGTCAATAGCTGGAGCTGGCCCTCGATCTGAGCTGACGACGCCACCAGATGTTCGAAGGCGCATCCCTCTGAGTGAAACCTGGGCGTTTCAGCTGAATTTTGCCATCAAGATGTCCAGGATGCTTCAATGAGTTGCAGTCGTGACAAGGGTTGGCTGAACTGGGAATCAACATGAATCAACCTCCAAGTGGCTGAAGTAGTGCACTGGCAGGATTGGAATGGGATATTCTCTTGTAATCTCCCGCTCCGTCATGTTGAACATGTAATCCGCCCCTGGCCCATGAAGTGGAACAAACGCCCTTCGCCCATTCAGGACTCCCCATCTGGACTCCATACCCCCACTGCCTGGAGCCACAAATTGATCGGAGTCCAGCTGCACCCCAACACGAACACGAGAGATGAGCATAGCACGAAGCTTGTTGTAGTTGAAACCTCCAAAGGCGCAAAGGGTTGTGAGAGACCAAGAACGTGCGAACACATCCTCAATTAGTACAACCCCCTTGCTACTGCAAGTCGCTCTCGGATGGTGCTTTATACATGTTGGTGCCACCGTGCTACCTACAAACCTACAGCTTTTGTGAGAGCACTTTCTCCTTTGATAGCATGTTATAATTTATATGAATTTATACTTTTATAGTATACTAGCTCAACTCCAAGCGGCTCTTCTGAACTTTGGGCCCCAAGGGTGCCAAATGCATGAGCAGCAAACGAGGATAGCGCTCTGGGGTCCAGGTGTCCTCAGTTTGCTAATGTTTGCTGCACGATTTCGGAGTCCATTTATCCACAACTTATCCACCAAGTTCGCATCTGTGTCCTGCCCCTTTGAGAACTCCTCTTTCTTGGAGACTGTCATGGGCCATGGGCATCAAGTTTCATCAGAATGCATGAGGCAAGTTGCAGGAGTCAAGCTGCCCAAATGGAACACAACAATGAGCTCATTCGAGAACAAATGCACGGAGCGGATGAGCTCATCACCTGAGTCGATGTGAGAGCGAAACTGACACGCACACCTGGGAAACTGCATACGAGAGACTCATAAGAGTGTGCTTCCCATCTGGTGCTCCTGCATAGTAATTCACCTTGCAAATGACGATTAGGACAATCTATAGGGGCACTTCTACTCTCAAAAAAGCGCAACGTTTGGGAGGCCCAGCAAAACACAAGATCTTCTCAAGAAGCTCAACATCCAAGATCGATAATCCGTAACTGTAAAGCGTAAATGGCTTGATCAATGAGTCAGCCCAAGGCTGAGAGTGCAGAGGTATCCTCAAAGAGATTGCAGCCCCTTTTTAACCTGTTTTGTTTTGCGTCACCAGGATTGACAGTTGACCCTTGCCCACTTCAACTGGTTTTGTTCCCTAGCCTTTTCAGTGAGGAACGCACCTATGGCCTACTATGCCTACCCAAGCAGTGGATGGAGCTTTCCACTTGGGAACTTGCATGATTTCACATGATTCCACTTGTGACTTGTTGTGAGCCCAACCTGAAGCACGACATTTGCCATAGGGCCATAGGGGTTCTCGGGACCAGCACTCGACCTAAAGATTGTAAAGGATGATTCAGGCTTGTTGCAGCTATATCACAAAGGCACGAGGGATCCAGCCATCGTCGTCCTCAATGAAAAGCTGCACGTCAGTTGCCCGACAAGCACGCCAAACAGCATCCACTGTGAAACACGTTGGTCGCCCAACCTGGAGCCGTAGCAGACCAGGTCTCTATATGCTGACGCGTCTCCATATGACGCTCATAGGTCTTCAAGAATCGAGCGTCAATCCGCACATTCATGAGATCTTGCAGTGTGCCTTGGTGAAGCTGTGATTTATGTAGGAGAAGTTTGGTGGACGGCACTGACTGGCACTGTGCCCCCTTCCCCGAATCATCTAGTGATATCTGGCAGATATCTGCTGTGGATCTCGCCCCCTTACTCAGGCCTACTCGGGTCAGCCAAGAGTCTCAGCTCCACTCGTTTGGTGCCAGGCTTCAGGGCAGGATTGCGTCCTGTCAAACAGAACTCTCCGATGATCTTGTATCGACCATTGATTTTGTGCATTTCAATTGAGGGCGCCCACTGAACATCACCCGGTGGGTGCTGGTGCTCCTGCTTGAGACTCCCAAGCTTCTGAGCAAAACCTGGGCCGCTGATTGTCGTTACGACTTGACTGTTCTCGTTAGTGTCAACTTGTGATCATTTAGTAATGCTCAAGCTCTGCTCATTCTACCAGGGCGATTCTGTATCGAATTTCGGGATGCAAGCAAAAATTCCTGAACACCGGCGTTCCGGGTTTATTTAAGGTTGTCCAAAAAGAATGCAACCCGGGAACGCCTCGGTTGCGCGCCATTGCAAACCTCCTGGGACCGTACCCTGCCCTTCTTCAAAGATCTCGCAGGAGGAGATTAGCCTGCCACGGCGACTGTAGGTAAACAGGTAAAGGGTAAAGATAAAGAGATGTAAAGAGCAAGTGAAAGACTTCCTGTTCCAGCCTCCACAGCCTTGACATGCGTCTTTGCTAAATCACTGGTCCAATCACAGCATGGCCAAGCTGCCTGGATCCAGTAGAATCAGCCAGCTCACGAGGCATGAGCATTGGATTCAAGCGCCAGTAGAAGTCGGTCCCTCGCAACGTTCAATTCTTAGAATCTTGTCAAGGCGACTAACCAAAGAGTCAGTGCGATTATTTCAGGAGATGCATCAAGTGCAAAAACACTGGCCACCATCCCCCGCTGGGACCTGGTGTGACCTCACATTGACAGTGCTTGCCACCATCGCCTGGAATGAGGTCGCCGAGTACGTCCTTACCATCTGGATGAGCAAATTGAGGCTCTGCTATGCCCCATGGATTGGAACTACACCTCATCCTGTGTCCAAGAGACTATGCTGCATATAACTTTCTGGATGCTTTTGTCCTGGCGGATCCGGTCGGTGTGGTTGAGGTTGGAACCAATGGATTAAAACCACACATGGCCCATGGCAAAAGAAGAGCTGACCAAGCCCATACCTAGGCCACCGCTTCCCAGTTGCCCAACACCTGTCCTTTGGCAGCTCAATCATCTTCCACTTGTCGTCGTTGCCCCATTTCACACGCCCTCCGCAAAGGCACTCCTGCCATTGTCCAGCACAGAAGATCCAGGTGGGCTTCACCTCATTTCGATGCCGGCCGCATTCTTCCTTTAAGTATTGACGAGCTCAGGACTTCCACACATCTAATCTTGACACTACGTTGCCAGTGTTGGCCCTCCATTGTGGGTGCAGCTTCTGCAAGTCTTCGCTCTACTTTGAGAATTGAAGGCTTTCACAATTCGCGCGCCTCACCAACTGTGTGGAGCGGCTTTGGCTCCTGCAAAAACACCAAGGGATTGCACCGCCAAATGTTTAACTCTTCTGGTCGTGTTGGGTCCCACCTCATGTGTTGGTGGCTGGGTAGCCTCTGGGCCGCTCTCCTGGTTATCCTGATCGAGATGAAACAAGTCAAGCTTTGGAACACTAAATGTACTAAATGAAGCATTCCAACTTGGCAGAATCCCTGTCCTCTTTGGCTCCTATTGCCCCATCTGAGCCCGGTGTCTCGGGCGATGCTTCCTCCAAAGCAGCCAAACTAGGTGATGGTCCTCAATCTTCCTCAAATCCATGAAAATCCCAACCGCACTGGAACGTTTAGATTACGCCATGCTTCATGCATCCTACGGTCAGCTGAAAGCGACACTGCGAGGTTGCCGCGGTGTGGCACTTGCCCTCCAACCTAATAGCGATTTCCTCCACTTGCCCTTTTGGGCCATGCTTGTGAGGGCCCTGCCTCGGGTGAAGATCTGCTTTCTTGATCTGCTTTCTTGTGTCGCTTCTTGCGGCCCTTGCCGCTCCGTGACCTTGGTAACGAAACTGATCTTGTCTCATGTCTCTCATCGCTCCCTCATCGCACCTATTCCATCCCATTCCCACCCCACTTTCTCATCGCCCTCGTGCCTGACTTGAGGAACGATCTCCTGCACTGTCTGGACGTCCTCCTCTCCAGAAGTGTCATACTTTGTCATGGATGTCTCACCTTTGTTAGTTGCTGAGGCATGAGGCAGCAGTGGCTCCTGCGGCCAGGTGTAGCTGAAGACGGCCACAAGCAGAAGAGCTGAGAGCGCCAGGAGCACCTTTTGCGCAAAGCCTGCAGTGCTGCAACAGTAGGTGAAAACTTGATGACTTGAATTGGGGCGAATATGGGTTAGAATATATGTTAGGGCTGCTCGGGGGGTTTTGGAGTTATGCAATCAATGAACCACTAACCTCCGCTACCCCATTGCAACATGTTGGTATCAAAGAACAGTCTGGTCCAAATGACCGTGACCTGACAATGCAACATTGAACATCAATATCCACCGTGATAACTTTTCAGAGTTGACCTTGCTGGTGTGTCCTGCCTGGCCCACTCTTGCCCTTGCTTTTCTTCGCCATGTTGGCTCCATTGAAACCGATGAATTCTGGTTGGTCTTGAGGCTTCGATGGTGGCTCAATTGGCATATGGTTCAACCTGATCCATCCTCATGTGCCGCATGCGAAAGTGCTCAAATAACTATATAATTATACAATAAAGGGCTTGGTCAAAAAAATGCTTGGTGCTGTTCTGCTTATGTGTGCTTGGGACTGGGTCTTGAATTAAGCTGCGCAACAAAACAAAGACCAACCTCTGATGCCATACAACAGCAAACATTTCGCTGAGTGCTTCCACGCAAATGTCTGGAACAAACTTGAGCGAAAATCCTCGCGCTTTGCCCGCCTCTCTTCCGCTCCTGGTCAGGTTAGCCCACTAGCGATGCCCTTTTGCTACTAGTAGGGATGAGATTGTGTTCAATTGTTGAAGAAGCGATGTCTATCTATCGAAGGCCGTCTCCGTCCGAGACTTTCCGCCATGTGTGCTAATGGAGGCACTTTTATCAGTAGCAATGTGTATATGTAATAAGTTAAAAGACATGTATGTCTACCTGTGTATCTATATGTACATTCACACATACATATATTAAACACACATATATACCTCAGAAGGGGGGAACGAAAGCCAGCAGCCGCCAGACGAGAGGGTCAAAAGAAGAAACCATCTAAGTAACACATGCTTACTAGGACGATGGCAGGCACTGTATGCTTCAACATGAGTGTCACCAAGCGTCATCCTAAAAATATTGCATAGATCCGTGGCTGTAACAAGTCCTTAAACAACACTCTTCACCCCACGAAGGTGCTATCTACACGGGCCCCTTTTCTGATAGCAACTTGTCGCTGCCAACCAACTACTATACTTGCCCCATTGCGTCCAACCAGACTTCTCTGAAAGGATGACTGGGAGGATGGCAGGAACTATATGCCTCAGCATTGGTGTCACCAACCGTCATCCAAAAATATTCCACAGATCCGTGACTATAACCCATCCTCAAACAGCAATCTCTTCACCCCACCAAGTTGCTATCTACACGGGCCCCTTTTCTGATAGGCACCCGTCGCTGCCAACCAATTACCACACTGGCCCCAATACATCCAACCAGACTTCTCAAGTATAGTAGAGACTAGGATGGTTGCTCTGTACATGGGTGCCTGTCTCCACTCCAGTGCTCAATGCCCATTGTCCATATAGCCGTAGCCTCAGCCCTTCGTGATGCTAATGATGTACTACTCGGCGCCCATTGCATCACTCGCATCACCAGACCCAATTTTCATTGCTTTTCTGACCCTCGCTTTGGCGCGCTCTCCCCAGGCAAGCTCCGGGTTCACCCTCTCAAATGGTGCCTTTTCGCCTCCTACCCCCCCCCGCACCCCCTTAACTCACTTCGTTCGGTCTAAAAGCTCAAGCCTAGCCTATCGGCTGGCTTTCGTAAAAAAGAAATATATACATATATATATATATATATATGAATGACTTGTGGTGACAATGGCAGAATCATGCATAATCATTGATGGCATCCTCAACTGTGCCATGGCCAGTGTAAACGGTGTAAAGGGTGTAACGGTGTAAACGGTGTACAGAAAAATTGTGGACACTGATTGCGCCAGCAATGGCCAATTGGCGCACTCAATCCTCGAGTCCAAAGATGGTTAACGAATGTTGACGAGATGTTGTCCCGATTTGTCCCGAGGTTGCATCCAAAATGTCTTCAGGGTGAGCATTCCAGTGCACAGCAGTATCCAACACATCTCGTACCTTGGTGCTTCACTTCTACTTGTTGAATCCAGTCGAGCCCCTGGCCTCCTGGGAGTGGAGGTCACTCGCCCAAACAAGTCCCGATGCGGCCGTGGAGAGCCTAACCTGTGGTGGACGGATGCGCTCAATTTGACAACGGCAACAACCGTTTGAATGTCGACACTTTCCGCACGAGAAAACGGAAGCAAATCAACGCTCTTTTTGTCTGCATTTTCCTGTTTTTCTCGGGACATCTATCCGACACATCCACAGCGGCCGTCAGTGAAACGCAAAGTTAAGTTGTCGGCTTTTGTGGGAGTATCCGGGATGGACAAAGCTACAGAGAAGTTGTCTAACTCTCCGAATGACCAAGACATTTCCTGAGCCCGAACACCACGACCAACTACTACTTCCACAGATGGAGACACTTTGGAGGACCCCAAACCAAAGGATGATGTCACTGTGACCGGGCTTAGTTTTGAAGCCATTTCTGCTGGTAGACGTTGAGGATCTCTGGGAACATGGCCACACCAAATGTTTACCAGCAAGGTGGTTCGAGTCGACCTCTTCTTGCCTGTCAGCTTATCGGAAGCGTTGAAGCTGAAGTTGAAGGCATCCCGAAGCTCAACCGGGGCCGCATGCAGCAAAGTCCCATCAAAGCAAATGTGCTTCCCACGAACAGGCAAGCTCAAATGGGCCACGTGCACGATGGAACCCATGCCGGCCATAATGGCTGGCTCGTGACAACCTTCAAGTATCGCAGTGGGTGCTACGCTGCCCCCGGCCTCCAAATATGTCACCGTGCCCAAGGACGGATGCTTTGTTTCGCCTCGCTGGCGAGACTCATAGTCCGCATCCCAGTGCCAGCCGACATCATCTTCTTCACCATCCATCCACAAGGTCCACCACTCAGCGCCAGATGTGTTAGACAATCCTAGTCGGTCCTTATGCCAATCACAAATCTCCAGAACAAGCTGCTCCAAAGCACAGGCTGGAGTCGCTCCTGTTGAAAGCCAATACGTCGCTCCCACGCTTTCAGACTCCTCCCTCTCAAGCGAGTGGGCAGAAAAAACACGGCGGCAGTCTGCTACAAGATCCAGTCCTTGGCTGAAACTCCAATGCTTCCGAGATCTCCTGACTCTCCTGACTCCTGTCTTTTGCATGCAGTGAGCCACTGAAGTGCATACTATTATTGCAGTTGACGAGCTTGAATGACTAGGGTGTGGTCCATCGTCTCCATCTGTCGAATGAGGCTTGCTACTGCCCGCATATGCAAGCTTTTGGGTCCAGGCCACTTGGCCACATGGGGGAACCAAACCCTCCGGTTGTGTCACTTCCCAACCTGTTCTCTGGGTGTTTAACACGTTTGTACTACATAGTTTTTAACGACCTCGCGGGCCCGCCCGTCTTGGCTGCCGACGGCTTCGCTCGCTGCAAAAACTGAGACGTTCGTTGAAGGCTTCGAAAGGGGCCACATGGCGCATGACTGATACGGTATCTCGGTATGTTTGAATATCTTTGAGTTGATTTTTTTGCAGGGATTTGCAGGGTTTGCTCTTGCATTATTATGCATTCATCCCCACTTCAGCAAAAATGAGGCAAACTTAGAGTAATCAAACTTTCACATTTCCTCCATCCCCATGAGATTCTCAAAGCACAAGGAAGAACTTGTACATTGTACATCTTGAACTTGCTGGATTCTGCTGTGTCTTGTGCCAAGATCCCTCCATCTCCGATTTTGAAGTGCTTGAACCTAAAACTCCACTGCATCGAGAGGAGCCCCTAATAGCGTCCTTGCTCCTAGCAGTAAGGCCAGGAGCTTGAACCTAAAAGCCCACTGCATCGAGTGTTCTCTAGACTCGATAGCTTGAACAGGGCTGCCCAGCATTTCACTAGAGCAATCTTCTGGCCTCAACCGTGGTGCACCCGTCTTCGCCTGCGCAGCTACAGCACCGACAACTTAAATGTTCGATTGTGATAGGTAGCAACATGTGCTGGGGAGCCGGGAGCATATACATTACTGCCTATGACCGTTGTACTACTTGTTGGCTGGATAAAGATCTACTCCCAAACTTGGGTTTCTTCCCTCTCCTCAAGACGTTGATTGCATCTGAAATGGTTATGAGATGCTATGAAGGCTGCACGCAGCCCTCTCAGCCGAGCGCTACGTGCACTCCCTTTTCACCCAGCGCATGGTTTCGGACCACCGGTCCATCTCAATATGGAGGGACACTCTTGGAAAGCATCCTTGGATCAAAGCAAGGCTATCTGAGTTACGTCAAGCATCTTGGTGCCAAGCTACAAATGTACCTGGCATCGCTACTAGGAGCAAGGACGCTACTTGGGGCTCCTGGTTGCACTACTAGGAGCCAGAAGTTACTAGCAACAAGAAGCTACTAGGGGCTCCTGGCGTACTACTAGGAGCAAGGACGCTACTAGGAGCAAGTAGCAAGAACTACTAGGAACAAACACCCGGAGGGTCGATCAACACTGCTCTCTCTCTCTCTCACTCCATCCGAGCCAAGCAGCCACGAAACTGGCAGCAAACAGCAAGGCATGAGATGCAAAGGGTGTGGCTAGCATAGAGTCGCACTGATCCGCATACATTTGTGTCCTGCAAGCTGTTACCATTTATTCCACCCTGCCCTGGCCATGAAAGGGTTGCTGCTACCGGTCGTGCAGGGCTGTTATGCCGCTGCAAGACCGTATTTTTAGGATTTTGCAAGCAATTCGCTGCGCCATGGGCCATGCTGCAACATGTTTGTGTGACAAACCAATTGAAGCATGCATGCAGCATCAATGAACATCTCATCGTCCTTGCCCAAGGCTCCAGCAACAGCCAGAAGCGCCTTCCGCTCTGCATGCTGTGACCTGCTCAAGATTGACAAACACCAGAAAGACAATGTCCATCATGTTCAAACACTTGCCGTGCCGACTTGCTGCGCCGCTGCGATAACTACTGTATCTTCTGATAAGTTTGCTTAATGCTGTTGGACAAAATATGCCTAAGCGCATCGCCAGCAAGATCTCAGCGCAGTAGTGCAGTAAGTATTGTATAAATTCATTCACATTCTTCAACCACAATGCCAGTCTCCCAGTCTACTTCCCAGTCTGCACCTATCATGCTCACGAAGTATTGGCACCAAACATTGCTCTGGGTTCATGCCGTCAGCAAATGGCTCATTGTCCTGAGCTGAAACACTCCTCAATGACTCACCGGGGTCAAGTCAAGTCTCTGCAATCTGTTTCCACAAACAGTTGCCGACTGATTCTGACCTGAAGGGCCCCTTGGGCACCATTTTTCCACATTTTCCAATCCTTATGATGAGGCAGTTCTGCGATTCCAAAGGCCAGGGTTCTCGTCCCCATCCAGCGCCAAAGGCCACACACCTGTTCAAGCTGCAGCGATGGCCCGCGCCTGATCAGCAAGAACCTGCTGTGGTTTCTAGGAGCCAGCTGCTGTCTAGGTCGTTGTGTCGCACTTGCAAGTGCTTGATTCATTCATGGAAGGTAGCATCAGGAATTCCATTCTTGTCAAAACCGAAGGTCAAAATGTGCGCCGAACCAAGCCTGATGCATTCACCTGGTAAGCCAGCCACGCCACAATGGCTTGACTTCCGACCTCCTCAGCCAAATCTGCTGATTCAAGCCAGTGGTCATGGCGGCTTTTCTCTCATTTTTCATCACTGTTACTTTCTTTTCACTCTTCGACCTTAAAACTTTAGGGTGAAGGGCAACAGGCAACAATTTCCAGACTGTTGGCTGTTGGCAAGTCGATTTGAGTCGAATCCCACAAGTCGGCTCCAGGGGCTCCCTTCTGGGTGTCCTCCGGGATGCCCTTGTTGCACAATTCTCGTCGTGCGTGGAGGCGCGCGCCAGTGGCAGGACCCAGGAGCTTCAGCTGATTCAAGGCCTAGCGAAGCATCCAGACCGGACCGACCACGTCGTGACAGCGTGCCTTTAATCGAAAAACAGACTTCAAAACAGATTCCAGTTCTGACAAGGGATGCCAAGCACACCAATGTGTCCAATTCTGGCCTCAACAGTGAAGACCCAACCTGCCACTCATCAAGTCTGGCATTGCATGACGCTCTTTCTCAACATGTCTCAACTCTAGTTTATGGTTGGCCAAGGTCGCCTAAGCTTGGCTGCTCCTCCAAAATAGGCTCATGCAAGCGCCAGGTTGGACCTGTCAAGTGCCCCAATTTTGTCGCAGTACCGCAATTCACTGCATTCCATTTAAGCGATCTTTGAAACGAACGAGAACAAAGGCAGCATTTTCTGCATCTGGCCTCTTGACTTGATGCTTCCTGCTCGAGGGAGGCCGCATACACGAAGTCGAGTCCAGTTGAAACGGCTCGAGTTCATTCAAGTTCAATGAAAATCCAGGACGCCGACCTACAAAGCTTTCTACAGGCATGGTATGAGTATGATGCGGAGCTGATTGTGCGTCCTGCTAACGTATGAAGTCGTTGCATCGCCGGACGGGAACGATGCTCGAGCACTTGTACCGTGGGAATGTTGAGGAGAGCATGCCTGAGCACAAGAAAGCTAAACAGAATGGGCTCGAAGCAGCACACGCTTTGCGATCCGAGCTGCTCTTGAAGCTCATCCAGTGCACTAAAGGCCTTGCAATGGGCGGAGTGGTGGGGGGGGTCTGGTCTCTGATTCTTGATGTCAGAGGTGTTTGAAGTGTCACACCTTCACGACACCGAGGACTTTTCAAACGGCAAGAAGGCTTCTGGCAAAAAAAAGAAAAGGTCTTTGATGCCAAGTGCAAGGACCCAAAAGCAATGTTCTTGTGGAGATCTTCTAATGAGTGTACTGGGCTAGTGGAATATGTACTTTGTAAGTCCAAGCAGTGCGTCAGCATGCAGCCCTGACAAGTTTCTTTCGAGACGAGGACAAGTTCTTGACGGCAGGTCTTTTGAACAAATGCGGGGGTGCGCTGATCCATCTCGTCAGTGTTGCTTGGCAAGTGCAGGTCACGGGGTGAAAATTAACAGGTCAACTGCATGGCCACAGCATTTTGGCTGTGAGGTCGGAGCTGGTGAGGCCATGTGGGGCAGGTTGAACCGAGCGGCTTGGTAAAGCTCTGCGCTTGGTGCTGTCACACGTTCTCGTAGTGCTGCAGCAAAACGGACAGTAGCGAAGGCATTTCCGCCCTGCTCGCATGCCTGTGAAGGCTTTCAATGTGGCTGCCTACCCTGAGCATTTCGTGTTCTCCTGCCTGCAATGTGAATATTCCAGTTGCCACCTCCGGGCAAAGCTCGGAGAGATGCAAGGCAGTTTGCCAGTCGCTGCCACGCCTGCCATCAGCAGTGCTGGTTGGCGGAATCCAACATGGAACAAGCATCAGCTGAGATCAGCATACTGGACTTGACATCTTCCAACAAAAGAATTATTACGTGACCGACAAAATCAATCCGATTCTTGAGATTCTTGGAGGATAATTCGGAATACTGTGTACATATATATATATATAATATGAGTCTTAGTCTTGTATAATGTCTTGAGATGAGCCCAACCACACCTGCAAGCCGACACTGCAACCCCGAACAACGCCGAGTCTGGCACCAAGGTGTGTTGCCTCGAGCCATTTCGCGTCATTCAACCACAATCAACCGCAGCAAAGTGGGCAACGTGAGGAACAAAACAACTTTAGACATCATATTGACATCATTATTTTCCAAAGCACCTGCTAGGAACAATCCTCCTTGCTGTCAACTGACGCCTCTTTCAGAAGTGACATGGCAAGGTCTCCTCGGGCTCCTGTGAGGACAATGCTCGAAGCAATCTGACAACAGGGTGTCACAAAGGAACTTTGGTTGCTTCTTGTCGAACACCGGCATGGACCCAAAGTAGGATATGTTCACCCGGTGCGCGAGGCTTCCCCCTGGTATGTGATCACTCAGTTACTTATATAGTTACTTAGTTTGTCTGATTGCACAATACAAGTAGCTTTCCATATCCCGCATGCCGTAATTCAGCATCTTCAACATCATTATATATAGTGGTGCTTGCGTGACCGTATGTTGCAAGATGATACAATATGTTACAATCCATCTGAATTGACCATGCTCTCCCCTGTCCTCGTTCGCAGGCATTCATGGCTGCGCTATAGCCTCGTTGTAATATATATATAATATACAGTATATATATATATGGAAGTGAAAGCTTGGTCACTGGTTCAATTCCACCAGCTGGCTGCAGTGCAATCAACTTGTGCGCCTTGTACACCGGTGCGGCTTAGTCTCGTCTAGCGGTACATTTCAGGTATACATGGACCGACCTCTAATGTTCCGCTTCTTCGGATTTTGCTCTAGTTCTCTGAGTTGCCGCTATTTATCTCTTCATCTCCCCCTTATCTACTTCTTGCCTATTGCTCATCCCTCTTAATCTATCGACTCGACTCAACCAAACACGGCGTCGAAAGGGGTTGCATTTGATGTTAGCGCCCGAAGCAAGTGATAGTCCACACATGTCCACACAAACACTCAGCCTGAGTCCTGAGGCTATGTTTAGATTTACTTTGTAATACTTTGTGCCGTGCAACACAAGGTTTGGGCCAAGCCACTTACAATGTTGGGCGTCACTCGGCTGCCACTCATCCTTGCAGCTTAATCGATGTGGTGAAAGTGGCCAAATGCATGCTGTTAAATTTTGTACCATATTGCTCAATATCATACAATTTCCTCATTAGCAGCCACTGCTTCAAAAGCATCTCACATCTCCTCATAACAGGTTTCAAAAGCCTGAAAGCCCAGCGGGTAACAAATACGAACCAAAAACTGCCATGACTGAGGCTGCAGTGTTCGACCGCCCAAATCTTCCATTCTTGGGCCAAGGGGCGTGGAAAGAGCGTGAATCGCCTGGCCCCATCGATGTCCCGCCACACAGGCGGCCAAAAGGCTCCCGAAACTGATGACCTCAGCCCAGCGGCTCGCTGAGCAAATGGTGCAAAGAGGGAGTACTCAGGTTGGGACATTCCTCTGCACTCCTTCTTCTTGCATTCTTGTGTGAAGTTGAAGGGCTGCACCCCAAGCACCTCCCTTCCTGGCGAATCTGCTTCCATTCTTTTTTTCTTCCAGTATATGGTGCCGTTATATGAATTATTACAGCTTTGGGAACATCAAGCACTTCAATTGCTCAAACACGTTCTCAGAATGACAACTGAGTCAACTGAGCCCTCTGACTCACAGGCTGAGGCAGCACTGCTGAAAGAGAAAGCATCGGGTTGCAAAGTGAGAAGCCTAGATGAGGACATGCCACCACGCGCAAAGCCATGAAAATCAGGCTGCGCATCGTTGGCGTTTCCGAGTTCAAGTCGGTTGTCTTGAGTTTGTGGCCAAGCAAGTGTTGGCTTGGATTGCGTCATGACATGTGACTGCGTGCTTCCATGGCGCCACATGCGGCTCAGCAAATGCAAAGCGGTGATCCATTGCCCACCTGCAAAGAAAGCAAACTTCCCCTCGTTTCACGTGCAATGGTTCAATAGCTCAGTCCATTCCCTTGTCCACTCTGTGCCAGCCTTTCTCACAGGCACTTATGGCCGAGTTGTAGCAATAACCTGGTCAAGCTTTGCACACATTTGCAGCTTTTGATGCCACGGATGGACGTGAAGGGATGGGCTGTGTGGCTGTGTGGTTTCAGGGCTGTTACAACTTGTTCCTAGTAGCGTCCTTGCTCCTAGTTGCGATCATGACATCATGATTGAACAACATCACACTTTTTCACACGTGCATGCAATGAACAAAGCTGGCTTAAACATCTTAAACCACATCTCCCACTCAGTACGAAGCTATTGGCGCTGCGCCGGCTTTGCGCTTCTGCCAGCAAGGCCAGGGCTGTCGGCCATTGCCGGGCCTGGCGTCTCGCGCAAACGAACATCGGGCCTGTGTCTGGTTCCACTGGAGTATCTGCAGCATGCCAGTGGCCTTTTCACATCCACTAATTGCAGCTCCAAAAGTCCTGAAAGGCGGATGGTGATCATGGACACATTATGTTCACATTATTTCACTAGAAATACACACACACATGCATTATGCATTGTACAAACATATGCGAACATTTCCCCATGGTGCTTTGAATCCCAAATCTTCACACTCTCTCAAGCACTCTCCCTCATTGCCCTTGTCCTTTCATTGGCCTCCACACGATCCTGCTGCATGCCTGAGATCGCGTCGTCCGGTCCTATTGCACATTTTGCATCAACCCTCTAATACACGGCACATTTGCAACTACAACAGCCCACATCATCTGAGTACTGACCTGTCTCGTCAACAGAAACAGGCAGCCGAAAAACAAACACCCAAGGGGGGTTGTGAGACACACAACGATACACAATGAGGTTGCAACCTTGCAAGAGCGCGAGGCCCTCCATCCAGCGCCCTGCTCCTGCAATTCTTCAAAGCCCTGCAATCAAGGCCAGCCATTGATGGCTACGGCGTGGTTGAAACACAAACAGGACTCGTGTGAACACTATGTGCATGAGAGACCACTTGATAGAGTGTCCTGCACACGCAGCCACGGCCTCGGATCAAGGCGCAAAGTCGAAGAAAGTGAGTGTATGACTCGAATAATGTCGCTACTAGGAACAAGTGCATCGCTACTAGTAACAAGTGCCTTACTAGTAGTAACAAGAAGCTATTAGAAACAAGCGCCTTACTACTAGTAACAATTAGCGCAAGCCCAACTTGAGGGCGCGGCGGCGCTATAGCAAATCTGATCTGGGAGGATCGACCTTGCGTGTAGAACACACCCTCATCCCAAGCCTACTTTGATCGGGCATATCAAACCTTTGCGTTGTTCCATATTGTTCCATTCAAAGGCACAATCAGGACTCAGATCTATACTCATGACTTAGCCCTTGCCTTAATTCTGGACTCAAAAGCAGCCCCGTCATGTTGGAACTCCTGAGTTGCCAAGTTTTTTGTGTGAGTCCGATGCTCAGCTGAGTTTCTCAATTTTGAGTCTTTGTTGAATAGGGAGTTCTCTTTCGGAAGTATTCTTGAAACGCGTCGCGCCACAGAGTCATGCCTCGTGGACAAGCTTTCCAAAGTAGCCAGCGCTTGCTGCCAGCTTCCCATTGCCGCCATGGCCGCCATGAGGGCACCTGGTTGCGAAAATGTATTTCAACGAACTCTTCAGTCCATGTTGAATACACACAGAAACGAATAGGTTCTCTTTTCTACAAAGAAATGGGACGTATTGAACACAAGCGAGTCGTGAAGTAGACTTGCATAGCCAAGCATAGAAGCATCGAAACACGGAAACGCTCGTTTCGTCAACGATGGTGTCCTATCTCTCAGAAGGCACATTCATCTTGCTGTTTAATCAACCCTGAGCCATCCTTCAGCTAGACACCTCAAGAAGTTGAGTCCAGCTGTCTGATGATCCTGATTGTGACATCGCTCCAAACATGGATTAACAGCGCAAAATAGTCCAGAAGCATGTAGAAAGCTAAACTTTTGTGCATTTCCTTACGTGAACATCAAATCCCATAGGGTCATGATCTTGATGAAGCCGAACTCAGATCTTACAACTTACACTCTTCATTATGTCTGATATATTCTCACCATCCTCCATCACCGTGCCTTTGGCCCCTGCATGCAGGCATGTCCCACCTGCAAGGTGCGTGACGAAGAGAGAGAGAGAGAGAGATATATATATATATACAGCATACATCCTTATTATACTAAGCCTTATTATAATACACATAACCATCTGTGACATATATGTTGCTGGTGTGGGCATCAGCGGAGAAGAACATGCATCAGCGGAGAAGAACATCACCAACGGCTGCCTTGTGCTACATATGAGTAGCTATACATGAAGCATGTACTAATCAAACTGCCCATTTTGTGTGGTGGTGACTGCAGTCGATCTTCCTTGCTGCTGAAGGGCTGCATCCTGCCGACACTTCCACCATTGCGTTTGCTTCGGCGCCATGGACTTTGCATGGCGGCACGGGCCAACCCCACACTACTATATCTTGTTCCTCTGACACGTTCCGCCGTGCCACCACACGTCCTATAACAAAGGACCATTTCCTTTGGTAGACTTGGACTTGCAGTTATATAGATCTTCCTGCATTGTGAATCGATTTGGGATCGAACGCGGACAAACAAGGTAAAACAGCATCACACATTCCAGGATCTATGCCAGTCCTGAACTCAAGAACTTGAGCCTGTGCCACATCAACCAACATTCGTGTCCAGTCGGGCGAAACCAGTTTACTGCTAGCTTCTTGCCATTAGTAGCGATGGCCTACTTAATGTATATCTGCCGTTGGATCTGCGACATTTTTAAAGAATTCCTGGCCCAAGCCGACGGGAAACAATCCGCCGACATGCTTCTGCAACCTTGGGAGCGTGTTTCATACACTCCGTGCACGTCTTCCGTCCGTTCCCGTGCATCTCTCACTGTCCGCCTCTCTCTGCTGCTTTACGTGCTCCTCCACCCTTGGATTTGCGCTGCTTCGTTTTGTTTCCAGAGAAAGCAAGGCAACACACAGCGAGCAAGTGCCGTGTCACAGTCACGACGATTTGATTTCCACCTGTAATAATATACACCAGTGTTTTTACGATTGACTTGCATTCAATTTGGCCATTTGGTTCAGCAAGCATCAGTTTTTTCGAAGATTTGACGGAAACCTCGAATTTGCTCTTCAGGCCAACAAGGGGCATGTCACCAAAGAGTCTGAACATCTCGTCCATTTCGGCACTAGCTGGAAGGAAACCTTCAGTTAGGTTTCAGAGTAGATGGTACTACCCCAAGATGTCTTAATTTTAACATGCAGGAATTCCATACAAAACCACCAAATGTGGGGTGCTAGTGCCATCTACTCTCAGCCGTAGTCGAACCGGAGCATTGCCATGTGCTCGTGTTGGAGGGTGCAAAGGCGGCAATTCAGAGGATAGCTTGGTTTAGATCCCATATAGATCCCCTACCATTGTGGGACAAACGGTCCCAGACATCCAGCTCACATTCAGAATTGGTGAGAGCGTGTCCAGACTTGGCCACACTGTAAGTCATAAGTTGTCACAGCTTGTCGTCCCAGTGACCAACTTAGGTCCACAATATTGCGCAATTGAAACCAATCCTCAAAAGTGCCCATCAGTGCGACCTTCCGCATGCAGCACTTCAAACGGCACATGCACTTGAAGTAGGACTGCAAAAGTGGACATCATCAGCTGCAATTCTATGGTTGGCGGTGGTTGTGGCAAAGCTGGCCAATGGCACTTCAGCCATGTCAGGACTGCATCCAGCTGCAAAGGTCAGCCGGTGATGGTCAGTGTGAAAGCAAAACATCACAAATGTTCATTCTGCAGGCAGCTAGTGATTGGATGCGCGTTCGCTGATGATGCCTGCGGTTTGGATGATACATTAGTCGCTCGCCCTTCGATGGAACACAGTGTCATCCAATCCAACGGTGTTCGGTGTTTGTCTGGAGCAAGTTGCAACCAGCTGGATGCAAATGCCCTCAAATGGCAAGGGATCCTACTCTTTACAAACCAGCTGCTGCAGGGTCCTGTGTTCTGGCTTGCTCGGACCCCACAACATGAAGCAGGGAAGTACAGCAGCGCAGCGTAGCATTCATCCATCTGTTCAACTGAAGTTCTATGTCATGGACTTTCATCCCCTTTTGTTTTGAACTTGTCCGTTTACCCCCTTGCAGTCACGTCACTCTGCAAGTATCTGCCGTCGGAGTTCTTCAACCATGAGGAGTGCTCGCGACGAAAGGGCGAATCGGCGAATCTCAAACCAAGCAGCAAAAGTTGTCTGATTAGGGAAGCCTTCTTTACTAGCGATTTGATCCCTTCCTGCCATTCTTGCAGTGATGAAAGCAAGCTGCACAAAGCAATGCATCAAGCAGATTCAAGCAACCCAGAAAAGTCAAACAATCTCTACAGTACTGTAGCTCCATTCTCAGCACACCTTTTCTGCCATGTTCACACAAACCTGAGCCAAAGTGGGGACAATCTTTTTGAGGCTTGCAGCTGGTGTGGTCTGTACAAACGTGGAATGTGCTGGCACAAATAGATCAGGGTGTTTTGCATGCAAGGCAGCAAACACGAGAGCAGTGTGGGGTGCACGACTAGAACTATATATATATAATAGTTACATGCATTATATACACATACAGAAAAACAAATGGACGGATCCGGCACTTCGAGCTATCCTGGCTAAACATCCCGACTACCTGCGCTCTGTGCACATTGCCACCCCGAATCAGCCAAGTGAAAGTAGCAAGCATGCCCAAGGTGTCTCCCTACTTATTTTCGTCTTTCTGATTACTGACTTCACGAGTGACACCTTTGAGCAGCATGACATGAAAACCTCCCCCTTATCACGGCAGGCTTGCATGGCATCTGATGGACTGGCACAACCGTCTGGCGGACTTTGAGCCAAGCTCATGGAGCCACAAGAGGCTGAACCGGCCAGCCAGTGCCTGAAGCAAGACCCTCCTGTGAGTTGCTCTGTGGATAGGTCGACAATATAAGAAGAACAACACTAAACACACATTGACATCAGTAAAAGTTTGATGAAAGAACCTACCAGGACCAGCAATTTCAATGAATCTGAGGTCAACGCAGGGCAACCCATCTGGTAGAGTCGTAGAGAGAGAGAGAGAGAGAGAAAAGACCCGTATGTACAATGGTGCGTGCCAGCAGCCTATAGGAAGCAAGCGCTAGCCACACAGTGTCACACAGTCTGGCCGCGATCCGGCGCAGGCCCGGTGATGGCTGAGGCAGCAAGCCTTCAAGCACCGATTCTCTGACTGTGGCACCAGAATCCGGCACATTGGCCTTGACGCAAACATTTCTCAACATCCTTTGCGCTTCCAGGCTTCCAAAGAAGCCCTTGTGACAAATCAAATCTACTGAAATCTGTAAGCAATGAAGGAAGAACGTCTACGGATAAAGGACATATTACTGGAGCTCCTTTCAACAATCGCGCTCTTGCTGCTGCATGGCTTGAGTTTCAGACTGCCTGCATTCCGTGTTCCAAACATGTCGCTTCATCATCCCAGATACTCACCCAAAGGACAGAAGTCCATGGAAGCTGCTAACCACAAAAGAGAAACTTTCACAGCATAACTGTGGCACTGAACGCAAGGCACTGCGAGGGGTTCAACATAGTGCCACCATTCCAGGGGCGGCCGATATAAAAGACCCACGCCTCGCCATCACCACATAAGGGAGCCAATATCTGAGACATTCTCGGAGACCAACATTGCTTGGTGGGAGGTTCACGCCTTGCTTGGCCTTGGTGTCTGACCATGTCTGACCTCAGCCTGGCTCCCTGTGCCTTGGAACGTTCAGCAGTTCTCCTACAGTTTCGCGTAGTTTCACGATTCTCGTCCTTCTCACTTATCTCTTCACACATTCACAAAGGAGTGTGTGACGCATTGCCGGGCCCTCCCCAGCTAGGCGGGTTCAGTCACTGTTCCGGCACTTCAATGCAAGACCATAGAAGGGAACTTGCAGAATGCCTTAGTGAGAACCAAATTCTTTGCGCTTAAAAGCACTTTGGCATGTTCCGTCCCCGATCGGATCATGTTCAGCCGCTGGAATCATTGGTTGGTGGCACCGGTACTTTTAACGATAGCTGATGTACAAGGCCTTTGGAAGAACTCCGGTCCAACCAACCGACAGCATCTGATCAGGCGTGGCAGCGACATTTTGACTCTTCTAGCTCTGATCGACTGAATCGACTGAACTGTACCAAAACGAAGTTGTTTGCATACAAGTACAGGTACAAGCAATTGCTTGGCATGCAGTTGCTTGGCATTTCGTTGAAATCGAACCTCTTTGGACCTTGTAGCCGACATGTCTGCAACTCTTGGCAAAGTACTACGGACTGCCCAAAAGGCAGCCAGGTAGCCGCTTCCACACTAGACCTAGCCACCGTCTGACACAGCCTCCTCGGGAGCAATGACAACATGTTCAAAATTGTTCAAATGTTCAAAATCAACGTGGTTTGTGACTGCGATCTCCCACTTCAACTGGTGGAGACGTGCCAAACAGCAGCGGCCATCCAACCTACAGAACATCCATTCCTATGTACACAGGTCTGGTATGAGACCTCAAGGCTTTGCTCGCATCTTGCCTCGCCGCTGGAGAAAACACCCAGCTGTCGATGATTTTTGGTCAGCGTGATGCTTAACTCTTGGATATCTACAATCCACAGTATATTGATATAAATTCAGAAGTGCAAAGCCAGATCTCATGCCAACTCTTTGGCAAACCCGCTTTGTGGTTTCAGGGCTCTGAATCGAACACATATTATCTTGTTATATGCATTTTTTTGAGGTAATCCTTTGTCATTTCATCAAAATTATGATGCATCCCTCCCTCTCTCACTTAGACTTAGAAGACGGAAGCACCATGCCTATCGCCTCTCAGACATGTCAGGGGGATCACAGCTATGATCGCTATGCTAAGCGATGCTAAGTTGCCTGTGGGCGTGCAGATTGAAACTCTTGAGGGCCTTATGAAACCACAATGCAGATCGCGCATGCTTAAAACTCCACCGCCTCTCCGACACCCATCCCACCAAGACCAAGGTCCTAGGAATGTTTCGGCTTGGGGGCCGTGGGCCCGAGTAGGAAAAGATCAGGATCACGGACACTCCCAAACAGCAACTCTGGCAAACGCAAAAGTTGGAGCTAACGCAAAAATGGAGGTCTTAAAGGGTTTGAACTGACTTTGACGCATTTCGCCAGCGCGTCTGCTGGTTGCAAGGGGGGACATGATGTATTGATTTATAGGAGGAACTAGGAACCACATTATGAATAGAGCGAGCCATCCTGCGTCTACTTAAATCTACTTAAGCTACTGGCTACAGTTTGCTTCCACTAGCTACCTAGCTACTACCTCTTCTCGGCCTGCCCCCCCCGGCCCCAAAAAATGTTGCGATGTAGTTGCGACATGTTGCGACTCAATTCTGACAAACGACGCTTAGAATCAGGTTTTTCCGTTTGCACAGCGAAAGACCTTTTGGGGGACTGCCTGGACCACACTAACATTCATTAAATGACTTAAACATGTGGCGCATTCGCTAGAAAAAAATGCAATTATCGTTTTCCCCGTCTTTAGACCTAAGGAATCTCAAAGGTTGGGTCTCTTCTCGGGTCTGGGGCCCCTGGGTTCCCCTTTGTCCTCTTTCACAAATGAATTGAATTTTGTTTCTAATAGCTTCTTGTTTCTACTAGTAAGGCACCTGCTACTAGTAGCGATGCACTTGTTCCTAGTAGCTTCCTAATTGCTAGCAAGGACGTTGGACCCACCTTGAGAACATGTTCATTCACGAAACAAATTCCGTCGCCAATGAATGACAATCAGGAATAGTTTTGCAGGCTACTTGCAGGTCGTAGCCTGAGGTAGTAATAAAACTAATCCGAAATCTTGTAAGGAACAACATAGAGGTCTTAATGGAACCAACGTATCAAAATATGAATGCTTCTTTTACTTATTTTGACTGTTATGAGCTCCAGTTAGGGGCGACCTTCTTTTTCATTCTTTTTCTCATCAGCGTTGCTGGTCACTGCTTTTGTTCGGAGCTCCGAGCCATGCACCGACGAAGCTTCTGATCCTGAATTCTGCCAGCCCTTGGTATCCGCAGAACTGTGCTCCAAGCCCTTTGCAAGTCATCTACTTTCCAACCTTGATCAGCAGGTAAGAGACACCTACACAGCCTGAACACAAGGACTGATGATCAAGAGGAGGGGACTGGCGGGGATGGGTTTATCAAGCTAAGAGCAAAGAGGAAACAAAATGACACAAAAACAAACATGACGCGAATCCCTTGGCCCCATTTGAGTAGGACGAGGGCGGTGATACCTGATAAGGACACTGCCGACAAATAGGCGATGCCTGGCCTACATTGGATTTATTGATGTTTGGCAGGCTTCGTGGCCGGACAAACCAGTAGAAATCACGTATGAAGAGTGCGGGTGTGAAAGTAAGGCGTGTCCAGGGCCCCATTTGGGTCTGAAAGGTTCCAAAAAGCCATCTCTGTGATGCCTAGTTTGTCAGGCAGCTTTATTTAGCACGGTATCACCATGGCTGCGGGGATGTATATGTATATTCAACATCTATATATATATAATAAATTATACAAAGTCGATCACGCATAGTTGCCACGTGGTTTTTTTATAGGCGAGGGGACTATTGACTAGTGTGCCAACCAGTCTTCCGGGAATAGTGTTAAGAACACTCAAAAAAAGCACGTGGCAGTTGAGTTTGGGCTGGCATTTTAAGCGGCCTTCCGAGAAGCAAACGTGAGGTGATGCAAGTAGTGCTTAACATGAGGAATAGCATAGTTTGCATTTTTGTAGTACAAATAGGGAGTGTTTTTCCACATTGTATGCCTCCTAACGTGGCACGAGGAGAAAAAGGAAAGCGATGCTATCTACAATGACATGCTACTCGACAATGGACCACCTGACTGGCGCAATTGGCCCAGGCTGGCGAAGCGTTCTGTGTGGTCCTTTCCTTCCCTTCTGCGAGGCGGATTCCACCATCTCAGCAAGAGACCGGTAAGGGCACGGGCCCTCGGAGCAGCTGAATTCACCTCAGCACAAAAAGTTGCAGGGCACAGCCGAAAAGTCCAAAGTCCATTCCTCAATCAAATGCATCGGGTAGGTAGAAGCCGTCATGTTTCCATGTCATATTCCTCATGGAATCGAGCACCGTGCGACTGCTTCATTTGTAGAAAGATCAAGTTGTCTGATTGACAGGCACATGTCCACTTTGAGGGTGAGGCGATGGTGCAGGCTTCACTCCTGGGGCTTGAAAACGAAGGCTCCACAACAACATACAACGACCTCTGAATTTGGCTAAGTCATCAACAAATGTTTCAATCTTGAGAGTAATGAGTAACCACACAAAATGGTTACACCAATGGCTTTTCCAATCAAACACCAAAGCATTAGAGCCCTTGAGCCTCATAGTAATGGAGCATCTCTTCCACCCTCAAGATTGGGAACAAGGTAGGTACCCTTACCTCCATGTTTAAACACATTTTAACATTAAATAACTTTTTCAACCACTTTTACGCAAAAACATTGTAACTTAACATCTCCAACTAATTCAGTCCTGATCACCTCGATAGCGCCGCCCCGAGCGCCCCAGGCCTGGCGGTCCACGAACGAAGCCGCAAAGACGAGATCGTCCAGGATGAACTTGTGAAGGATCATCTTTAACTAGAAGCAGACTAGAAGCAGTTAAATCAGTTCGAGACTGGCCTTTTGAGCCAGTAGCTTTGCCCTCCCCCACCCCCAAACAGCCCCAAAGACGCTTTAGTACTAAAGCTACGAGTCTACGAGTGGCAAAGCCTTCTGCAAACTCCCAAGCTTTTTTGCTTTGTAAACCTGTTCTGAAGACTGCGAAATAGTACGATGATAACCTTTTCAACTCATATTGTGAACCACAGGTGCTTGTCTGAAGCGGGTGCAATTGACAACCAAGTTGAAACGTACAGAAGTGTAGAGGGCCGATTGAAATGATCATCGCGTGATTGCTACGATCGACAAGCCGGGAAGTCGTCCAGTCTCCTCATCCCTCTCCTGTGCCGTGACGACAAAAGACTACCAGCTTTGCGAGTGCATGCAACTGCCATGATTGAGATACACTTGTTGCACTACAATGCGCTTCCGTGCCATGCAATTGTCCTCATACTCGTCCCAGCCCCAGCTGTGTTCGTTCCACATTGCATTTCGTTCCTGAAGTTGGTGATCAAACTGAGAACGGGAATCAAGCACATGCCCCGTCTATGTAGTGTGATTAAAGCCTTTCCAGGCAGCCCAGGCCAAAGCTTTTGCAACAGAACCTTCGACTCCATATCTTCAAGCAACAGGTCCAGGCTTCATGGCCATTCGCTTTCCCAAAGCATCTTGAAGTCTGGATATAGTTGGTTGAGGTCCTGCTTGTCCCTCTCCTGGTCGAGGTCATGCTGTACAAGGGGGCATTGCGTCCTCGATCGTAGGCCATGCAGGGCCATGGAGTGTGACATTGGGTCTCCCAAAGCTGGAACAAGGTCGACAACTCTTCCTGCTTTCCAAAGTAGGCTTCTTGAAGGTTGATTGCGAAATCAGCACCGTCTGGCATTGAGCTTAGGCGGTTCCTTTCCCTCCAAGCCTTGTTTTAGACTGTCATTGGGATCCGGCAGTTCAATATGAGCCCATTGCTCTGCAGAACGCATGACCGACCGAGTCCATGCCATCATGGGACTCATCATGGGATAATTTCAAGAGGTGGGATGATACGCTCTTCCCATAAAGCTTTTGCGGTCCTTGAATCTGTGGCCGACAAAGACTTCAGCAGGGTTGCCGCTTTGATCTGTGACAATACGCATGCAGCATTGAGACTAACATCGGTATCACACAAGAATCGAAAACACATGACAATTTGTTGCAGCAAGCTTCAGATGTTCAGTTTTTTCAGCGCAGTGGCCTTGTTCCGTGCAAGCCGCAGCCACACTGGAACAAGCTGAAGCCCTTGCGGGATGATATGAAAGCATTGGAGGGTCATGAGCAGCCTCAAAACTCATGTTGAATAACTTTCGAAGTCTTCCGACTAAAACCGTGAAACTGACTCAACGAAACCACAAGTTCTGCTGCAGTTCTTCCAGAGTTCCGCGCCGTTCTTCCCAAGAACCTCCCGCTTTGGTGGGTACCTGCCATTGTCAACAGGCCAGCTGAGAGTCTCTCATTGCCACGATGCAAGTTTGCTCTTGTGGCAACGAGTGCACATGGCTACAAGGTTTTATCGGAATTGCTTTGTTCTATTTTGTTACATATTATTATTACAGTATGTCTTCCAACCTGCAAGTTTTATTGACCTGAACTTTCATGAAGAACGTGCTTCGGTGTTCTGTCCAAAAGGCGCCTGTGTTTGAGCTCCTTCATTGTTTGGATGAGCTCCAGCGCTCCATCGTCATTGATCTGGCTCCGCCCCGACGGGCCACCCGCCCCACCGCTTTTCAGTCACGTTTGAGGCCAGTGGAACGTCTGTTCAACAAATTCCACGGGTGTTGTCAAAGGATTCCTCAGAATCTACATTGGATTCACTTCCCTCTCAACATATATTATAAATCTTCATCAGCATTTCTTTAGCCCGGGCCAATAACTGGTCAGGTGGGACGTTGGAGACTTCAAAACGTCCCACTCACTGGTGCCAATCGAGCCTGATTATCTGCCAGGTGCAGCTCGTAGATTTGCCCGGCGCCTCTGGTGGGACAAAGCTGTGGAGAAAAAATAGAAAAAGGGTGGTCTCTAGCATCCAGAATCCCAAACTCTGACCATTTGGTGACTTGAATGGTCAAATGAGTTAAATACCAGCAAGTCACATGAACCTTCTGAGCTCCACTGCGCTTGTTGTTCTTGATGAACTCGCCTGCCACAAAGCTATGGCGACTGTATGCGGCTGTCAGCCAGCTCGCAGTGGGCAGTGCATGATCCAAAAGCAAAAACATGCTGGGCTCACACAATGACTGGATGCCATCTTTGGTGATCCTGCAAGGGTCATCGCCGGACCAAACATGACCCCACCCTCTTTAAAGTGCGCCATCAAAGAGGTTTCGAGAACCAATGCTTGTTCTCCATGGTAGTGGGGAGGAGGATCATCTTGGAACACAAGGAGTTCGAGTTCAGACAGGTCATTCTGGGACGCATGATTGTATAATATCATGTTGGAACAATTTGTAACACAAACATGCACCTCGTTGGACAAGAAATACCACGATGGAGAAGCTGGGATAAAGGTGTCGCTCTTGAACGTCAGATTTCGGTGCAGGCAGATCTTCGGAAGGGTTTGCCGATTTTATGGTGGGTGTGGGAGCCTAGTGCGAGCGGGGTTGGGGGGAGGTGGAGAAGGAAACATCAAGAAACCGTGAAACCAAAAAAACACACACACATTACTTTTCTCTGCTCGTTAGAATGGCTCCTTCCTGCTCTAAATCTTGCCTTCGAGTGGCCTACAGGTGTGTTGGATTAACTGTTTGCTTTTCCAAATTGTTTTCTCGGGTATTGCTCTCAGGCCTCAGGCTTTCACTGGCTCCTTCTTAACTTTACCCTCGGATGCCTCACAAAAGGTATGCTACGTTTGCATGGCTCCTACTCATATTCCACTTTTTGCCCTTGGGGAGGTCACAAGTGGGATGCTATATACGTTGAACATGCCTTGTCTAGATTTTATAATCGGATGGCTCATGCAAGGTATGCTACGTTGGATTACGTTGGAATGGCTCCTTCCTCCTCTAGAAAGACCTGAACAAAAACACAAATCAAATTACTTTACTTCGAGTGATCCCCACCATGACATTTCAAAACAGCTTGTTGACTCCACTTTTGTCTGAAGCTTTTGTCACGCGACTTTTGCGTAACTAACTATCCCGATCATTTGTTTCACCTGGCAGGTCATTGTGCATGTCAGTCTGTCAAGCAATATATAAACATGTCAGTGGGCCATGTGAAGTACACTCCAGAGCTCTCAACAGGTTTGCTTAGACATGACCAAACATGGCAGTTGACATTCTATCTGGCATATCTTCTGACATTCTATCTGACATATCTT